TATGAAAAGTGTACATAATTATCTATTCCAATATACCTACATTATACGACATCCAATATACCTACATTAATTTTAATGTACTTACAATTAGGATTTAGGTATTATATGTCATCCAATGTACCTACCATTTGAATAATATATGTACTACGAATAAAGTACCTATTATTTATCTAATTAATGTACCTATTTTTTTTCTATAAATAATATAGCCTTTTTTCTCTGAATAAAGTACCTATTATTTGTTTTATTAAAAGTAATTTTTTTAAATGAACCTATTTTCTCTCTTCAAATAACTTACCTATTTTTTTCCTCTAATAATGTACCTATTTTTCATAGGTACATTATTGGATATGTAATTTATATGTAATTTATTGGATACCTATATTTTATATGTATATATTTATATTATACGATTTTTTTTTTTTTTTTTTGGCAATTTTAGTGGGCGAGATGTGAGAGGGAATGACAACTAAAAGAAATAGGGTGATTGATATGCTATTAATAGGGAGTATATTAATTACAATTATGGTAGTTAATGAAATGCTTGAAATAAAATTATAAATAAAATATGACCTCTTATATCCTACTAGGCAACGATGTAAAAACATAGAAATACTACGACCTCTTATATCCTACTGGTCATTTAAATTTGAAATTGGGTTTTACACATAGATTTATAGAGTAATGGGTATATGTCTAGAAAATAGAAAATGTAAGGGTCTATATTGGACAAGTCCTTTTTTTTAATCCCTTTGTATCATTTGCTTGTGTGTGCCCCACATGGTTATTAGTTTTGCTTGTTGACTCTGCCTCTGCTGATCCTTTGTTTCTTTCTTGTTGCTTAATCTAGTAGTGAAGCTCAGTCTTGTTGTACACACACAGTAGTGTCTCTGTCTGTCTGTCAAATTACTATGTTTTTCTTTTCTTTTCTTTGCTAGTAGAAGAAGCAGCAGGTGATTGTGTAATGTCAGCCACCATGTTTAATGCAATGCAGGGCTGATCCACAGGTACCTGTAAATTATATTCAATTAAATTACCCAAGTGAGTGAAAATCACAACACTTATAAAATCTTAGAACTCAGCAAAAAATAAATTTAAAAAAAAAGAAAAAAAAAAACTTAATGGTCTCTGAGCAGAGCAGGTCAGAGTCTGTCAGTTTGTCTTCCAAACACACACGAGTCGTGCAATACTACTGACTGGTCAGACAGACTTCTCGACTGACTGCATGGACTGTCAGTCCATTAATAGGAATAGGAATAGGAATAGGATAGATAGGGTCCTATTTCTTCCACTTCCTTTATTTAATGTTTCAACTCCATTGTCGCTATGCAAGGAAGAGATAATGATATCCATTTCCCCACAGCTCCAAAACCAAATTCTGTTTTCGCTTTCAAGTGTGTTACATTTTTTCTGTTTGATCGAGTAGTGGTAGTGTGAATTATGCGCTCACACGATTGATGTTAGCCGATTAAAATTACAATTGAGTGCATAGTTTATTATGAGTTTCACTCTGATTTTTGCTTGCTAACTTTACGTATTGATTATGTGACGTTAACACAACTCTTTTTGTTTTGGAGTAAGAACTGCGAAATGATTTAAAAATGACAAAATGAAAATGACTTATTTTGAAGAAAATAAAAATATCCTTGTGAGAAAAACAAGTCATTTTTGCATGGAAGTGTTATTTGAGTGCACATTATTATTTGGGTATTAATGGGTAATTTGTGGTTGCTTGTGTTGTCTGGTACTTTTTTGTTTCTCTTGGTTTGTCGTTTTAGTCTCTGGTTTATAGATATCACTCTCATGTGGAAGCATCAGGGTTACAAAGCTAATTGATGCTGGCCAGTTTGTTGAGCTTTTTCTTTAAAGAGATACATTTAACATGCTCTGTCTCCATCATGCCACGGTGGTTTCATCAATGTAGCTAAGTTGAAATCTCAACAAGTGATTTTGTATAGGAAAATACTTCCTTTCCTTCACTGTAAGTAAGAATTCCTAAATTCTTGCCAATGACAATATGACATTTGTGTAGAAGTTTTTCTTTGTATTTTTTATTAATCATTTTTACACATCTGTCAAATCGTGATTTGTAATAAGAAGTATCTCTTTTTAGAGAAAGAGACAAGCACTGTCCTTTGGCATAGTACTCGTCATAATAATGAGGTCCCTTCTACACAATTCATAAATCTAAAATTATTGGTACACCAACATAAGGGCACACTCAAATGCTTAATGCGGCACATGGCCAAATCAGTTGCTACATTTGCACACTCAAATTTGCTTTCATTATAAATAATATTGATATATTTAATCAAATTTCTACCTTTTTTTTTTTTTTACTCTCTTGGATTATTACATCTTATGTTGATGTCTGCACAATATTTTTATAGCATTATTTACCCATCTTTTCTTTACCCCAAAAGGAAAAAAAACACATGAATAATAATTTTATCTTCCCAAAATAATGATCGTTCTTTCACTTTTCCTAAGTTGGGCAAGTCTGACTACGATGCGATGATGTTCATAATAGGTATCGATGATAAGACATGACACTGATAAGACAGAGGAAAAGATATTTTTATGTGCTGGTGGATAGTTTTCACTTACAAAGTGTCCTGCTCCAAGAATCCAATAGAAGTGCAGGTTTTTGTAAGACCTAGTGAACCCTCTGGTGATTCTATCATTGCCACAGAAGAGGGGGCTTCTACCCTTGCTCAAGTAATTTCGAAGTCCTTCCCATCTGAAAAGGCAAATGGAAAATCACTTTAACACACAAATAAACCAACATGAGAGAGAGAGAGAGAGAGAGAGAGAGAGAGAGAGAGAGTGGTTTTTACTTGAGCTTTGCAATCCATGCTTCAGCCCCCTTGGTTGCACATATGACATCAACCTACAACATTTACCAACCAAATTATGTCCTTACAAATTATACCCAATTGCCAATTCCTACTATAATTAAAATATAAATAGCTGGTGTAAAATTGTTGAAAGCATTTCTTATGGGTACATAGAGGTCCTCAGGACAAACGTTCACGATACGTATTGCATAAATATTTCACTATTGTGAGATATACATTAATCAGTATCTTAATCAACGGCGTTATTATTTTTAGTTTATATAGTAACCTCAAAGATTATACATAAGGTAGAGTATTCCATAAGGGATCCATCCGTTTTCTATTGCCTATTGCTGTATAAAAAGAAAGTAATCTTAAAAAGGATTGGAGAAATCTTACTTGCCCATTGTATATTGTCACATTGACCCCTTTAGCAAGGAGTTCATCAACCTGTCCAAGCCACAAAATAAAAATTAAAAGTCGACTCAAAATAAGAAATATCGTAGAGTGAAGACAATTTTTTTTTTTTTTTTTTTTTTTGTGCAGAAAAGGTCCTCGGAATTAGGGAAAAAAATTAGAAGGAAATAAAAAACTTCGATTTCTCCATCAAATGCCTAGATGACAAAAGTGATGAAAAGGAAATCAGAATCTTATACTCCCTTGTTGGGGCTGAATTTGCCAAGGAAATGACTTTTCCTTTTTCTTTTTTTTTTTTGGTCTGAACTACAAGGTGGTCCTGGATGGGCCCCAATTATGGGTGGCACCTCACAAAATAAAAATTAAAAGTCGACTCAAAATAAGAAATATCGTAGAGTGAAGACAATTTTTTTTTTTTTTTGTGTGTGCAGAAAAGGTCCTCGGAATTAGGGAAAAAAATTAGAAGGAAATAAAAAACTTCGATTTCTCCATCAAATGCCTAGATGACAAAAGTGATGAAAAGGAAATCAAAATCTTATACTCCCTTGTTGGGGCTGAATTTGCCAAGGAAATGACTTTTCCTCTTTCTTCTTTTTTGGTCTGAACCACAAGCTGGCCAAAGTAGTAACTCCATACGAGAGCAGGGATCGAACTCCTGACCTTCTCTTAAGAAATGAGAGTGCTGAACCACTCACGCCAACCACCTTGGTTGACTTTTCCTTTTTTCAGTTACAAGAAAATGACTTTCTAACAACCGAAATCTAATACTTACAAAAATTTGATAATAAAAATTTAATTTCCTGACCTTCTCTTAAGGAATGAGAGTGCTAAACCACTCACACCAACCACTTTGGTTGACTTTTCCTTTTTTCAGTTACAAGAAAATGACTTTCTAACAACCGAAATCTAATACTTACAAAAATTTGATAATAAAAATTGAATTTCCTAACGTGTAAATATACCATCTACAAAATTATGGGACGAATTTGTATATGCGTCAGTTATATATAATCAACAGTCTCTCGTAACATGTATGTGAACTTCACCGCGTAAAACACGTGTATATTATGAGAGATAAATTATTTATAATATAGGCTATATGTACAATAATTTTGCTTTTTTGGACTGGCAAAATCAGTACCTCATTAATCCTTGGTTTCATAAAATCCCCTGCCATTGCTGTGAAGACATAGTCGGACTGCCCTCCCCATCTGTACACACACAAAATATGCATCATATTCAAATAAAGCTATAAATTTTTTGAAGACTGAAAACTAAAATGGGTACCAAAAAAATAATAAAAAAGGTCGATTATACTCACGCCACATTATCTGGGATTATCTTAAGCTTCTTTTTAATGACTCCGTTTAACAAAGTATCAAGATCACCATCACCATCACCACCACCTGCTGATGATGAAGACCTCAAGGAACTGAGATATCTTGAATATTTCTTAAGGGCAATTCCTTTTGATACTTCAATGGTTGCCAAGGATGAAACTGGATCCATTCCTGAATCCAACAGAAAATTATAGAAGTCCTGCAAATACCCCAAAGCCAAAAGAAAAAAATAATCACAAAATGTTAATTGTAATTAAACTGAAGTCACAAATATTTATTAAATTAATGCCAATGGGGTATTGCGTCGTGACTTGTACACCAATGATCTTAGGTCAAACTCCCATGATACCTTGGTAGTGTGTGTGTGTGTGAGAAATTCCCGTTCCTCCACCCTCCCTTCTAGTTTGGACTACCGCTTATATTAAAAAATATATAATAATATGAAAATTAACCAATATATATTATGTACCACAGAATTGCTGTAAGAGGAAATGATTTGCTCAAGTTCACTCCATGAATTGGTTGCCTCCACAAGTTGACCATTCTGAATCTGCTGCTTAATCCTTTGAGCCACACTGTATCATTAAAAAGGGTTTTTTAGACTTCTGAAAATCTCTTAAATCCATAATCTTCTCATACCAATTATTATGCGTGCAGTGCAAAATGTGACAAAAATTAATAGACCTGTTTGCTTCCTTCAACCCATTGTCATCAAGCCTTGAGACGTCTTTGAGCAGACTACCCCATGAAAGCTGCAAAATGCATAAAATCGTACTAATCATAATTAATTTAATTACCCAGAATAAAAAATTTGGAAATTAAACAGTGCAAATCTTCATAATGCAGAAATTAAATTATTGGGTCAAAGCAGTTGAACTGTAAAAACGTACCACAAAATCTTCCGGGGAGATCCAACTGTCTCCTAATGCCACTCCTACAAACAGAACCAAAAATAATAATAATAATAATAATAATTCAGAATTACATGTTTTTGGAACCTGGTATTTTTAATTAGACCAAGAATTGGTTAATTATAATTACCTCCAAGTCTGAGTTTTAGTTTTCCTGCTTCAATGGCTTTGAGAGCAGAAAGTCCAAGAGTGACTGCAAATTTTCCTCCATAAGACTCTGCCACAATAAACAGGGGACTCTTTTGGAGGCTCTCATTTCTGTTGAATATCTCCTCCAACAATGTGGTCAAGTCAGTGGCTGCCTCCAAATCATTTTTCACAAACAGAGATTTGTCCTCCACAAAACTGAATCCAGCTCCAACTGGGTTATCCTAAATCATTCCAAAAGAACAAAAGAAATGGAAATTCATGTAATTGAAATCTGGTTGGTCCCCTCCCAAAAAAGAAAAAGAAAATAAACAGAAAACAGAGTTTGAAGTTTTTTTGGCTGACTTACAACAAACAAAAGATCTGCTTTCTGCAACCATGTTGAGTTTCTTGGGTTCAAATTGGCGTCCAATGGCCCAATCTCTTCAAAATTCCCAATCCCAACTCCTGAAGCTCCCTAGTTTTTGTTCAAAGAACAAGATTAAATATTTCTATACGACTACAAAAAAAATGGTACAAAATTTCTGGGTTTTTCTCATTCTTTGATTTTAATATCATTTGATAAGTACATATACTCACAGGTCCACCCTGAAGCCAGAGAATGATTGGCCATGGCTTGGAGGGATCTTCTACTCTGTTAGGACTTCTGTAAAGCCACCAGAACATGTGGGCTTCTGTGTGAAAAAAGAACCAAGAAATCCATTAACACTCACATTTCTGCCAAAACACAAAAAAAGAAGAAAAATTTCTATGCCTGAATTGCTTACTTGGTCTGACTTCAACATAACCCCACTCTTCTGATCCATCTAGGGTTCCTGCAGCTTCTGTTGTGCCTCCATAGAAAAGTGGTATGAAAAGGAGAAGAGAGAGAACAAGACTTAGAGAGTGCTTCTCCATCCTGAGAGCAAAGACTGGACACCAACTTCTCCAGCTGCAAATGTTTAACATGAAGTAAAAAGGAGGAGGTTTATATATGCACAGACGGAGGATTATGAAACTGAAGCTTACTTTGTCTCTGTGTGCAACAGAAATAACAAAGGAAACAACAATATTTGCTGAGTCACGTATTGTTTATATCATTATTTTAGTTTCAAAATTGATTTGGAAACGGTCAACTAATAATAAAATCAAATTGTAGATTTCTTTCCTTATCATAAAATAAATAAACAAAATAAACAAAAATATGCATGGATATACTATACATGTGTTTGTTCTGTAGTAGAATATTAATCATGGAGGAGGATTCACTCGTTTTTCTGTCCTCCTTTTCCTCTCCTTTCACCAAAATTCAGATCTTAGCTATTCAGCCAACAGGGTCTAATCCAGTGGAAAATGGGCTTGACTTGCAGAACGAAGGTCTCAAGTTCGAACCCCATGACATCAGTTGTGTATGCGAGAAACCCTCTCCCCTCTAGTTTAGACTATCGCTTGTGCTAAAAAAAAATCTTAACCATTGAAGCCCAACACTTTTTACATGATTGCTTAAAAGGGAATACACGTGTCTTCTCAATTACAATATGAAAAACGTTACTCTTTTGTTCAATATCTGTCAAGCCCTCAAAATCTGTAGGCTCAACATTCTTATCTAATCTTACCCGTTCCGTTCCACCACCAAACTTGAAAAACTTGGTGCAGGCTCTTTCCATGGGTTAAATTGACTAAGAACTTTAAGTTCTCTTGATCTAGAAAGCTTAAATAAAAATTTGACAAATCTTCGAAACCGAGAGAATCACTCACTAGTCACTACAAAAAATGCCATTACAAAATCATGAACACACTGAAATTATTTTTGGTTAGGTGAGTCATTTTGATGAGCTTAATCTTACTATTTATAGAGCACCTGATAATGACCCAACCTTGAGAATGCTATAACCGGATTTGATCTTCCGTAACGTAAACGGTCTCTTTCTTGATCTTGGTCCAAGTTGAACCCGGAAGGTAACTTTTGACTTGGAGTGCAAGTGAATAGCTAGTTGCTAATATAATAAAAATACTTTGTATCTCAAACGAAGAAAGTTGTGGAGGAGGGACCTCTTTGCATAACCTCTCTTCTGTTTATAAGATGATAATTCAGTATCGTCATCCTTTTTTTATTTTCAATGCGAAGGAAAAATCGAACTTGAGACATTTTTCAAAATATCAGAAATCGGAAAGTTTTGTCGTAATGACTATCATTGACCAATTCAACACTTAGAAACATATTCTTTCAACATTCTTTAGTGAATGAGGAAACTATTAGGCCTAAATCCTTACCGGACCTGTAAATAGTCAATAAACACGGTATAAACAACAATTTTTGGCCTATGACTAGAGGGAAGGCCACCTAATTAAGGACCATGATTTCCCTCCCAAGTTCTTTCCCCTTATTTTCTCGCCTATTATGCCTCTTTTTCTGGAAGAGAAATCATACTTCCTTTACAGTGCAGGGCCCCTCCTCCTCTTGAAGTCTAGCTCCACCCCTGCCTATACAAATTTGGATATATATTTGAATATTTCACATATTTATATTGAGGCCATTTTGCTAGAAATTATATAAATCTCAATATATAATCGTTAATTTATACTGTTTCTATTTTATCGTGATCTTATCCAATGAATATGTCAGACGATTTTGTCTTCAAACGTAGGAGGAAGATGCAAATATAAATGATGAGGAGTTTTCCAAAATCACATTACATGCACACCACCAAAAGAAAATGAGGTTTTTTAGGTTTTAGACATAAAAAAAATTTCACTTTTGGAAAAAGCCAAAACTTTTTCAAAAAAGACAAAAAAACCGCTCAACTTTCAAATCAAAGACATGCAAATGTATTGGATTCCTTAGGAAATCTAAAAATAAATAAGGGCATTTTTGTCAATTTTTGCTTCTTTTAAAATTTTTCTCTCTCCTTTTGCTTTTTCTAAAATGACTCGCCCGTTACATGTCAGAAATTATGCATAAAATAAGATATTATTAGCTTCGTCTGTTTTTTTTTTCTTTCTCTTTTTGTTGCATAAAAGAAGAAAAAAGAAAAGAAAGAAAACCGAGGAACTGTTATAGATATTGCAAGAAGGCAGTTTTGGTTTTGTTTCTTAGTGAAGAAAGATTGTAGACATTAACATTTCGTGTTATACTTCCCTTCTTCTTATGTAAATAGGAGTTCTTATATTCCAGCTATGTGTGCAGAAATTGTTCTTTTTGTATTTTTAATGAATTATTTTTTATATATATTAAACTGTGATTCGGACGAATGATAAATATTTCCTTACAAAGAATGAGGCAAGCAGTATCATTTCTTTCCTTTCTATATAAGAGGAAACTTTTAGTGCACACGTTTTGGTAATCATAAAGTTTTCACCAACTTTGGTGTCAGTGTAGGTTTGGTTGAATATATTATAGAGGAATGCTAGCAACCTTCTCTCTAACCTTCTTTTTTGGACATTTTCCCTTTTTGACTTGACATGTGTTATTCTCCTTACACTTAAAACAATGTCATTAATATATTATACAAGCTACCTTTTGCTTTCCAAGTTTACCCTTATTAAATGTATTCAATTTATCCCAAAAAAAAAAATCACAACTTTCTTACCATCTTATTAATTTTTTTCTAATGTCAATTATTTTTTTTAAAGAAAATATCTGCTTTTAAAAGGAAATGTCCGCTTTAAGCCCAAATTCCTGACCAATTTATTATTAGCAATAGTCTAAAATAGACTAAATTAATCTAATTTATGGAAAGTTGTAGTTTAGCCCTGAACCCTAAAATAATTTGGCAAAAAATTTATAGCACAACGCAAAAATTCCTAAAAATTATACACTTTTGAATTTTAAATAATACACTGTTTAAAAGTATATTAGAATATTTTAACAGTACAGCTGCATGGCTATACTCGTATAGTATACCCGCGCGGCTGTACGCTTGAAATATATTAGAATATTATAAACGTATCGCCGCGCGGCTATACTCGCTAAGTATATTCGAATATTTAAATAGTATAGCCGAGCGGCTATATTCTTGAAATATATTAGAATATTCTAAAAGTATATCTGTGCGGTGCGGTTGTACTCGTTAAATATATTCGAATATTTAAATAGTATAGCCGCGCGGCTAAACTCTTAAAATATATTAGAATATTCTAAAAGTATATCCGTGCGGCTGTACGCGTTAAATATAATCGAATAGTTAAATAGTATAGCCGTGCGGCCCTACTCTTAATAGAATATTCTAAGAGTATAGCCGACCGGCTATACGCGTCAAATGTGTTCGAATATTTCAATAGTATAGCCGTGCCGATAAATTATATTATATACTTAAACTCAATCCAACTAAACACTGTTCCTAAGCACAGTGAATTTACGAAAATGCCTTTATTTTAAACTGTTCAGCCAGCTTTTTCTCTCCCTTTGAACAGTAAAATTACGATTTTACCCGTCTTGCCCTCTCTTTCCTTGGGATGTAACTAGCGGATGTTTAGGGTTGAGAGGCGTCTGGTTGGATTTCAACTAGCTGGTTGGAGAGCTTCAGGGGTAAAATGGGATAGCTGTTGGTTCTTCGATGTCTACATCTGGAGGCTTCGACTGTTTTACACAGCCATACTTCACCGACTTCAGTTTTGGCTTCCATTCTTCACCTAACCATTGCTTCACTTCCTTCATCCCCCTCTACAGCAGCTCCGGTTCCATCTTCCTCCAACCACCAACCACCGGCTACGGCGACCACTCCTCCTCCTTTCTCTCTCTCCCTTGCTCGCGCTCTCGCCTTTTCTCTCTCAAACACCCACAGATAGTGTTTTTGAAATTCTTATTTCTCTGTTCTATTCTTGGTTGTTATTTGATAAATTTGATTGGGTTTTTTTTCCCTGGATATTTGAGGTAAAATAGAATTCGAAACCTGATCAATTTCTTCTGGGTTTTGCAGTGCTCTGCCTCAGTTTGTTTGCTTTGGCTGTTTTCCGTTCCGGGTTGAGGTAAATTTCTTTTAAAATCTGCCTCAATTTGTAATCTGAACAACGTGGCAAGTCAATGCCTAGGAGTTTTGCCTTTTGTACTTTTGCAATTCTACTCTTCTATGAATCTGGGCGAATTTTATTTTAAATGGCAGTGGTGTAATAGATTTTGGTTTACATACCCAAGTTTTCAATTTGATATATGATAATGTTGAATTGAGTCTATAATCAAATCTGTTTTATGATGATGAAATGAGATGACAAGAAATGATGATGATGATGATGATGAGGACGAATTGATATGTTGAATATTGATGACTTGAAGCAAAAAACTCAGTAACTAAAAGGCTGTTTTGGGTTAACTAACAATCACATCGTGCAAAGAGATCAGAAGTCGGAACCTAAGAAATCTGTTGCATATCTCAAACTACGATGTGATAAGGCCCCCTAAAACCAATATCTCCCTGTTTATTGAGTTTTCACTGGATAAATTTTGCTCATAGTTTTCTTCAATTGCGTTTAATTGAATCTTAATTAATAAGCATGTGTTTTTATTTAGGTATATATCTGTGTGTTTTAATGTGCAAAGGGTCGTGTTTTCAGGTGATTTTATCATTAAGATGCCAATGTTGACTGCTCCAAGTACAATTGTTAGCTCGCCTCTATTGCCAGCAGGTATTTTATGAGTACCCATTGCTAAGTTTCTGTGATTTTTTTAAGATAATAATACTAATGATTGATTTGATTGGAAGCTACAAATTTTGAAATGAGGTATTTCTTCCATCAGTTTGTGTTTTCATTGTTCACCGACTTCCTTGCCTTCGTCTTTTTCATTGCTATGATCTTCCTTTTATCTTCCAAGGTGCTCACTTTCCGACTCACTTGGGTTCTATCAGGAAGAGGATTGAATCTCACAGATTAGCTCAGGTATTTCCATCGTTCTTATTATTAATTTTTTTAATCAATTGTCGATTCAATGACTTTGCTCTCTTGGAGAAATCTTAAAAATGGAAATCATTCCCAATTTCTGTTTTGGTTGCCGATAAAACAGTGGAAAGCAAAGACTGTGTTTGAACAAGGGTGTTTGAAGAAAAAAAAAATCCCTTTTTTATCTGCTTTTGGTTGCTGTATCCTAAATATGGAGAGAAAAAATTAATGATAAAACACAAGGAAAAAAGAAGTGAAGATTAATCATGTTTCGACAAAATAGAAATTGGGTGCTTTATTCTTTTTGGGCTTAACTTTTCTCATGGATTGCTTGCACTTGAGGGCATTCCCCTGCATGTTATGGTTTTAATGCTTTTGCCCTATGTTGGGTCATTTGGGTTGGTGTCATTTTACATTGCTAACCTTATGTTTGTACATTTTGCTTGAATTTCAGCTGCACCCAGAAAACTGTCTGAGAAGATAATCTGCAGAGCAGGGGACTTGCGATCTACTGAGGTTAGGTATCTTTGAAACCACTCCAAGGACCTCCTCTCCTTTGAGTTGTAGTTTCATTTAAGTTGCCAGATGTTCATTCGACAGTTGAAGGCTCTAAAAGCAAGCTAATATATAGAGTGATGGTATAAATAGATGGATCATGGATCTTGGTGCAGTTCTCTCTGTTTTTTTGGGTTATTTTTTATCCTGTTTTGATTCATGTTTTGGTTTTTATGTATTTTGTTTTTAGAAGTTGGACTTTTTGGAATTTGATATTGATATGGGAATTGAAAGCTTTCAGTTCAGGATAATGCTTTTCATTGTGTGTTAATGAAATTGTTCACTGGCTTTTCCTTATCTGAAAAATGCCAATTTTCCATGGAAATAAAGGAGATTAGGATATTATATAGAAACAAAAGAAATTGTTGTGTTATGTATTGCAATACAGTTAGTGAAAGAACTTTTTTTTTTAATAAATGTTTTTTTTTTTTTCAATTCATAGTGGAAATAGCTTTAAAGTGGGAAAAGATCATCAATTTTTAACATTGGGGATGAGATTTTTTTTTATTTTATAGGTTGGCTACATATCAAAACACTGTTAATTAAAATGTAGCACATGTGGCACTAATTACACAAATTGTGTAATGATATATTGTTGTTAATATTTGCTTTCTTATTTTATTTTTTGTTTTTCTGTTCATGTTTTTTTATATACTAATTTTATGTAATATTTACTGATTTGGTGATGTCATGTTAGAGATGTTCAAAGTTTGAACACTACCTCCAATATTTGAATTCTAATTCTGAATTTTAATTCTTCTCTCTTTCTAAGTATGAACACTACCTCTATTATCTGGAACAAATTGGCAAAAAACAAAACCCATTTCAATGGAGATAAAATTTGACCATGCAGAGAGCTTCTTTATCTGAGGTTTGGAGGTGTAAGAGGAGTTGGGGTTGCACTAATTTTTGTTTGTGGTATCATTGAGTCACACAGTCATTTAATGTTATTGATTACATCTGTTTTGCTTGGTTAGGCTATAGAAGCTCTGTTTAATTAGTTTTTGGATATTGTGTTTGAAAATTCTTATTTCTATAGTTGTGCTATTGTTGGTGTGTGTCCATTTTGCTTCATTAGGCTATAGATGTAATTAAGAAATAATAGTTTAATTCATGAATGTTTTTTCCCTTCCCAACTATTGATCTGTTGGTCGAAGTTTGACTCTGATTTTTGCTTTGGATTTTGATGATGGCTGATATTCTGTTTTCTTCTATCTCTATTTGTTTTTGTTTTCCAGGATTTTTCTTTTGTTTTAGAAGTGGACTAACAAAGTTTAGGCATCTCATATAAAAACACTGCAAAGAAAAACATATTTGGACAGTTTTAGGACTAGAAAAACATATTTTGAATTTTTTTTGTTTTTTTAAGGTAGCTTTTTAAACATGAAAAATGAGATGTAGCTGCCTTTGGTTTCATTTGATTGATGTTTTGGGTTGATTTTTAGGCATATATGTTTAGTACAAATTGGAGCTTGATCTTTAGATTGTTAGAAAAGAGTTTGAGATGACTCAATTGTTGAATTAGAGTATGAGATTTTGATATCTGTTTAAAGGGGAAAAAGCGAAACAGAAAAATGGAATTCAAAAATATATAAAAAAATCTTGATTGTTTAGGGTGACTTTTGCATAGGTAACTTTTGATTGTTTAGACCAGTAACTTTTGACCTTATATTCTTTGTTTCATATGCATTTAGATCATTTAAACAGCCATTTTCCCGTGCTTTTACAGTGTTTTTCTTTGCCCAAAACACATTAATTTGGGTAATCTTGAGTGATTTCTTGCCTTGCAGATTTTGTTCATGCTAAAGTTTTGGTTTTATGAAAAAATTGTGCATGTATAAAAATACGCAAGCTAATTTCTTCTCCATTTTTCTGTTTTTTCTTCCTTTTTCTTCCCCCTCTCTTTTTTTTTTTTTAATTTTATTTTTTAACCATGTTTTCTTTTGATATTTTGCAGGTGGTCTTTTGTTGCTTTGGATAGAGCAGTTTGGTTGGTGTTTTCGGTTATGTTAAGCAGGAGGTGAGTTTCTAGGCTGAAATTTCCAATTAATTGTTTTAAGTTTTGTGAATAGAGCATAGGAATTAGCTAATGGTGTCAATTGACAATTGGTTGGGATAAGTGTGTGCTTCTTATTTTTTCTTCAAGTCCTAAAGAAAGATGGCAACCGTACAAAAATAGACTTCAACAATTTTCAAACGCAAAAAAAGGATTATATGCCTTATGAGAAGAAGAAACTGAATTTTCGGTTTTTGCGTTTTTTACAGGTGCTGTATAACTGTTTTTTAGACTGTTTGGTAGCTCTTCCCATTGCTGCTAGACAACAGGTCAGTTTTCTATT